AGATGGTTGTACCGAGAAATTCTGTCCATAAAAGTTATGAACAGAATCGATGACAACGGGCAGCCCTGGCGGAGTCCAACTCCCACCCTGAAGGGGTCTGACTTGTTTGCAATGCGAACCGAACCCTTGCACCGCTTGTATAGGAACTGAACAGCCTGTAACAACGGGCCTCCAATCCCATACTCACGGAGCACCCCGCACAGGGTATCCCAAGGAACACTGTCAAATGCCTTCTCCAAGTCCACAAAACACATGTAGACTGGATGGGCAAACTCCCATGATTCCTCAAGGACACTAGTGAGGGTAAAAAGCTGATCCAGTGTTCTAAGGCCAGAACAGAACCTACATAGTTCCTCCTGGATCTGAGGTTCGACCAATGATCGGACTCGCTTTCCAGTACCCCTGAATAGATCTTACCAGGGAGGTTAAGAAGAGTGATGCCCCTATAATTGGAGCACACCCCCTTTTTGAAGAATGGAACCACCACCCCAGTCTGCCAATCCAGTGGCACTGCCCCCGATGGCCGCACAACATTGCAAAGGCTTGCAAAGGCATGTCAGCCAAGACAGCCCCACAACATCCAGAGCCTTAAGGAAATCAGGGTGAATCTCATCCACTCCTGGAGCCCTGCCGCCTCGGAGCTTTTTAACTACCTCGGCGACCTCAGCCACGATGATGGACAGATCAACCCCAAAGTCCCTCGACTCAGCTTTCTCCATGTGCTGGTGTGATTGAGAAGGTCTGAAAAGTATTCTTTCCACCTCCCATCATCACTGGTTGAGGTCAACAGCAGCCCACCTTCACTGAACATAGTGTTAGTAAAGTGCTGCTTTCTCCTCCTCAGCCGCCTGATGGTTTGCCAGAATCTCCTCGGAGCCGACAGAGAGTCTCTATCCAAGGTCTCACCTAACACCTCCCACATTCGAGCTTTTGCCTCAGCAACAGCGAAGGCTGCAGACTGCTTGGCCCTCCGGTACTCCTCAGCTGCCTCCAGAGTCCCACTTGCCAACAAGGCCCAATAGGACTCCTCCTTCAGCTTGACAGCCTCCCTAACCTGGTGTGTCCACCACCGAGTTTGTGGATGGCCACCACGAGAAGCACCCACAATCTTGCGGCCACAGCTCAAGGCAGCTACCTCAACAAGCGAGGCGCGGAACATGGCCCACTCGGACTCAATGTCCCCCACCTCAGCTGGGATGCGGTTAAAGCTCTCCCGGAGGTGTAAGTTGAAGATCTCTCTGATGGGTTCTTCTGCCAAGCGTTCCCAGCAAACCCTCAGTACACATTTGGGTCTACCGGGTCTGTCTGGCATCTTCCCCCACCATCTGATCCAACTCACTACCAGATGATGATCAGTTGACAGCTCAGCTCCTCTCTTCACCCAAGCATCCAAAACAAATGGCCGCAAATCAGATGACATGACTATGAAGTCAATCATCGATCTACAACCTAGGGCGTCCTAGTGCCAAGTGCACTTATGGACACTTATGTTCGAACATGATGTTTGTGATGGACAAACTATGACTAGCACAGAAGTCCAACAACAGAACACCGCTCGGTATTAATCTTGCAGTGAGAAAAGGCTTCATCTTCTGTAGTTATTTAAACTTCTAACAATTGTAATTGAGCGACATGTTTATCTGCTCAGGACTGAATGAGTGGACCTCAAGACGAAGTGGTCAGGTTTGGGGGTCCAAGGCAAACCACTTTCCGGTTTGGGGATGAAAACAAACACTCTCGTTTGGGAGTCCAAAACGAACTGCTTTCCACACAAAGGATCTTTGTGCAAAACAACAGCTCTTAGAATATGCTTTGACTACTCTCAGGAACATTGTAACTTTTCTTCTGAAGCAAACTGCTCTGGCTCAAAGAGCTTTTAGAACAGGTGTCTCTAAAGAAATAATCACTTTCTGAAAAACAGAACAGAGAAACATGTTAAACACATATTTCATGATTCCAGCATTATTGAAAACAACAAAATTATTCATGTTCCCACTTGTTAATCAAATAAAATAGACTAAATGATTGGTTTTTCTTTCTTAGAAACATATGAAAAATAAGGTAAACATTAGTCAGACTGTAGCTGACTGTGTCCAAGAACAAACTAATATGTGAAAAACAGACATTATTCAAGTCAAAAGTAACTTAATTCATGGTGAGTCTGGAAGACACCCAAGGGTCAGGGGTCATACAGGAGTGCAGCTTCATGCTACACTACTTAGCCTCCATGGGTCTATTCAGGAGTACTGGAGAAGCGAGTCAGATCGTTGGGAGAACCTCGGATCCTGAAGGAACAATCACTAGCCAATGCGAAACGACGATAAATCACTCCTTACCAATGGCCTAGCATAAAGGAATATGATCATCTGTCATATTTATTAGTAGCTTAAAATACTTGAAACTCGAGTAGTGGGCTAGATCTACTATAACCTTACCCATTTGTAGGGTCAAGATACAAACGGAGCATTAACAGTATGAACAACAAAAAAGGTTGAATCATGTCATCTGGACTTCGTTTTTTT